GGCGGCTCCAACTCACAAGAAGAGCCAGGCCATGGCCTTGAAACGTGGCCACCCCTTTCTGCTGGGACCACCCAGCAGCAACAGGGAGGCCCTAAGGCCTGGCCCCTCATGGAGGCCTCTCCTGCTCCCACCTTTTTTGGGGTGGTTGGTACAACTATCCAGAGAAACACAGGAGGAACGGGATACTAAGAATAACTTTTTTAATACTGAGAGTTACTTTCAAGCTGCAGTTATCCTACAAGCCTGAAGCACTTCACAAATGGAGCACAGCAACAGATCCAGAAAGGCAAACACCTCTGGACAGGGCCAGCACCAACACTGCAAGCAGGGAAACACATTGATGCATCGTACTGCTCCAAGCCACTGACCACACAACGTTTATGTCACCCAGCACCCCAGGCCACAAACCCCATCATGTCCACAGACTTGCTCTACTCCCATTACATTCCTACCTGCCAACTTGAAGACTGCTCCCAAAGTAGAGACGCTGGAAGTGAAAAGGGCATTAACCTCTCCCCCTGCCCAAATTAACTCCCGGCCACGATACGAGAACCACCTGGTTCAGCCAGGCCTCCAATCAGCAGCCCCATAACGCCACCACAGCTGGGGCTAATTACAGATGGAGTGGGGTGGGGGGTTCTGCTGCTGTAGAGCAGCCAGGCCTTGGGCTTCCTTAGCACTTGCAAAGACAGCCTGGCTTTCCTCCTTCTCCTGCTGGTCACCTTGTGAGCTCTGGGATTCCTGTGTCTATTTTTAATAAACAAAAGCTGGATTTATTAAAGCTAAAGCTCTAGAAGCAGCCAGAACCTTGTGTACAGTGGTTTGCATGGCCAGTAGACCAGGTGCCCCTCATCGAGGGGGAAAGAGCGTCTGGTGGCTGTAGCCTCCAGCCTGTCTCCTGCCCAGCTTTTGTCGTAGTTCTCTCGCTTTCTCAGCAGTCATCCCTGTGCCAAGCCACCTGTGTGGGTTCTTGGCGAAGGGAGGGTGCAGGTCAGAGCACTCTCTGTGCCCACTCCTGCCCCTTTGATAAGTTCCTCATGGGAACAGGCAGCCTCAGCAAAGGTATTTCATAGCGAGAGGCTGCAGCCCTTTAGCATTCAAACCATGGGACGCAGAGCTGCTGCATTCTCTGGAGTTTGTCTTCAAGTGAGCAGCCCTGTTGTAGGGGTGCTGACCCCCTGGGAGCCCCACATAGGTAGAGGGGGGCCCAGGGAATGCTCTCATGCACGGCAGGGCAAACCCATGCTCCTGCTCTGCATGAGGAAGGTCACCAGGGCCTTGCACCCCTCTTCAGTGCCGTGACTTCATTTGCAGAAGGCGCAAAAGGAAAGATGTTTAAATATTTCTAAAATACCCAGTGAGAAGTGAAGGCTGTTGCTTGAGTTCATTCCTTAGCACTCTTGTGTCCCAATCAGGGCTCCTGGCTCCAGCAGCACTCATTCACCCTAGTCCCTGCAGCTCCTCCTTCCCTAGAGTTAATGTGGTGGCAGATCCCTCTCCAGACATCCAGGCCTTTTACTTTAGGGGCACTTTTCCACTTGGGAACCACAACTTCAAGAGGGTTAACTTTTTTAGCATTCTTTTCCCAAATGTCGCTGCTAAAGACACACAGCAGAAGCCTGAGTTATGCAGCTGTGTGTGGATAATCCCAGCTGCAGTGAGGCTGGTGCAGCACTCAGGCATCCTATGAGACCACGGGCCAGCTCTCACCTCCTTTGATCCGTTGGGTGGATCAGCAACAACTACAGAGTCACTGGATTGTAACTGTCCACATGTGCCACATGAACAGAGTGTTCCCAGGTCCCTCCCTCGCACTGCCCCAAGAACCCGTCCCAGTCACACTCCATGGTGGTGCTGCAGAGATGAAACCCAAGCCTCCTCACCCAGGCTGTGAGCCAGTAAAGCTAACACGCAGACTCTGACCACAACCTGCTTGTACAAACATGTTCAAAAGCTTAAGAGCCGCGTGGCTGAAGTGCTTCTAGATGAAACCTTCACTGGAAGGAGGAGTCTCATAAGCTGGTTGAGAGTTGGGAGAAGTGCAGCGAGCTCCCTCGTGTGGGGCCAGCTGTGCAACAGTCCAATTTTATTCAAGATTTGGTTTCCATCCCTCTGCTAAAGACGTGTCCATAGTCCCTGTGCTGTCCAGGTCTCCATGAGAGCTGAATAGTTCAGAGGGCAGTGAAAGACATTCAGAGAGTCTGTGTAAAGGATGGATGGCTCTACACTCCTCCAGTACCTTACATTTTTCTCCAAAGTACATGCTGGTATTACATGTGCCTCTTGTAACAGAGCTCCCATCTCCCACCACAGAGCCTTTTCACATAAAAAATAGATATTATTTATTGATTGAAGATACAGAATTCAGGTACAGCACCAGATACAGGTTCCTTCACTGGGCAGCTACACACGCTGCACACTAACAATATCCATATGCACAAAACATGTACATTAATCATTTCTATATTTACAAAATTTCCTTTGTTACAGAGCAGCCAACAATACAGAAGTGTCAAGTTTTAACGTTCACCTGGTCCTGCATCAGGTCCTCACAAACAACCAGAGCCTCTCAGTGAGGCTCAGTGCTGTGAGCCCTCATCTCCAATCACAAACCACTTAATGGTTTGTAATGGTAATGGCTGCCCAGGGAGGTTGTGGAGTCTCCTTCTCTGGAGATCTTCCAAACCCGCCTGGATCCTGCCCTGTACCACGTGCTCTGGGTGTCCCTGCTAGAGCAGGGGGTTGGACTAGATGCTCTCTAGAGGTCCCTTCCAACCTCAAACCGTTCTGTGAGTCTGTGTAATGCTCCTGTGATATCCCACTGCCGCCACAGCAGAGAGGTCTTCGCTGGCAATGGCACAGTTTAATCTGGATGCTGCACATCTGGCCAGCAATCCTGGGAATGAAGCACTGCAGCTCCTTGTGTTCAGCATGTGCCACCCAGTAAACGCAAGTGGTTCAGTGCACTCCCTCCAGCACTGGCTTAAGCCAGCCCTTCCACAAAGTGATAATTCCCAGGCTGACAGCTCAGGTGGGATGTGCGTGTAGAAGGACAGCGGGGGACGTGTCACCAGTGCACCAAGGAGCCTCGAGCAGGGGCCCTTCAACTGTGGCCAGTTTTCTGCTATGAACCACCGAGCGTGGGAGGTGTCCGAGGCTCCACACAAAGCAGTTCTGGAGTGCAAGGCTCCGACACCCTGCTGGGACAGGCAGAGCCTTCTAGAGACGCTGTGCAGCGATAGCCCTTGGTATTGCACTTGGTCAGGGTGTAGTGTGCTGGAGCTCCCTCCCTGTCCTCGCCTCCTGCCAGACCCAGCTCCTTGCTGTCACCCCCAAGGTGACTCCCACAGTGAGGATTTGTCTTGGAGCCTCCTGTCACTGTGACCCAGCAACACCAGAGCAAGACAAAACCTTCACCAGAAAAAGAAATCAGAGCAGACGGGGTGAGCTCTGTGGCTCACAGAGAGAGTAAAAGGGAGGTGAAGTGCAATTAAAAAACAAAAGAGCGTTGGAGCAGCTGATACCTACCCACCTGGCTGTGGGCAAAGCCTGCAGAAGTCAACAGCCCCACAGCCTGGCACAGCAACAACCAGCCAAAGCAGAGCAGGCAAATGGGAAGCAGGTTTCAGGCAGCGGAGCAAGATACTAAGTTATCACCTGGCAAGATGAGCTGCAGGGGTGTTTCTCTTGGTCATACTCTTCCATACCATCCTTCCCTTCCAAATATTTTTGCACTGCTTGGAAAAAAAAAAACATCCTATGGAGGATGCATTGCTCTCATCCACCCATAAAAAAAAAAAAAAAAAAAAAAAAAAAAAAGGTAGCCAAAGGGCAAAGAAACTCCATGGAGGATACTGTGCTTTTCTGGAGGAGTCCGCACTAACAGAAGCAGAAAACAGAAAAACAGAAGTACAGGACTGCCTCCAGAGCAAGGGGGGCCAGGATGCTGCGGAAGGACGGTGGGGGCAGCATTTGGCATGAGCAGCAGCCAAGTCCCCAGCATGGGTGTTTTTGCTCAAGAAGTTAAAACGCAGTTGCAGGGACTGCTGTGTTCAGACAGTGCAGGAGTTTGCAGGATGCAGAGGCAGCTCTCCCCATAACTGCAGCTCAGCTGGTCCAGGCCTTCAGCCTCCTCTTCCCAAAAGGGAAAGCAGCAGCGTAATGAGGCCGCAGCACTGGCACAGCCCTCGGGAAGGATCTGCCTCCCCTGTGACACACAGCAATGGCCTGGGAAGCAGGAGGGACAACAAGACACATGCTGGAGAGAGCTGCCTGCTAGCAGGGGACACAAAGCTGCGTTGGAACTAGAGGGTGTCCCCAAGGAGCGAGCAGGACCAGAAGGAGGGCAATGGATTCGGTCTTTTCATGATTTAGCACTCAGCAGTAAGACTGTAACACAAGCAGAGAGATTCTGGGCTCGCTCAGGCACCCGTACCTCTGTGCAGAGACCAGCACTGCGGTGACCACCCAGGAACACTGTCCTGCACAGTGGAGCACAACAGCGGAGAGAGCTGCTGGGTGAACATAACCAACTCACTCGCTCTTTTAGAGTCCCATGCCTGGTTTGCTCTCACTCTGTATCATGCAAACACTTCAGAAAAACATTCACCAGACACATAATCTAAAAGAGAGAGAACTGTTACTACTAAAGTTGTGAGCCAGGACTTAGCAAACCCTGCTGCTCAGTCCAGAGCTGCCATGCCCAGCACTGAGGCCCCGACGGGCTGTCCCACCCTATCGATGCTGAAAGTGCCCAAGGCCCTTAGCTGCCAAACACACTCCTTGTGTCCTGGGATCTCTGGAGGTGCCTCTGGCAGCCAGCAGACACGAGACCAGCACCCAGGGGTTCCCTCCTCTCCTTGTCCCCAGGACACACTGCACCTCAGGCACTGCCCTCGCTGCCCACTGGGAGCAACTCTACTCTCTCTGACCTGAGCTGAGGTTTCTCTGTTGCCATCCAATAAAGTGCTAATGGGGGAAAAGAAAAAAAAAATGGCACAGAGAAAAGCAGTCCCTGTTCCCTCCCTTACTGAGACAAAGTGGAAACACAGGAAGGCTGCAATTAAAAATAATAAAAGCAAAATCTAGATCCTTGTCCCTTAAAAAGTGGCTCTATATACATGGGTGGCAAGGGGGGTTGTTTTTACTATCCCCCTGCCAGCAAATGCCCTGAGGAAGGCACTACCCCAGCCACAGGCCGGACTTCACCTCCCCCGGCTCTAGAAGCCGGCAGAAACCCTGCTGCACCCCGAGGCGGGCGGCAGGGATGGGTGGGCAGCATCAGAGGCTTAGTGTCTCATCAGCAGCTCAGCCTCTTTCGCACAGACCAAAATAACCATATTTTACAAGAAGAGGGGGAAAAAAAGTCCCTAGGGCAGTGGCAAAGGCCAGCCCCAGTGCGTTACCAGGCTCTGGCACAGCTTCCAGAGGCGCGCAGGGCCGGGGGCCCATCACTGCACAAAGGTGCTGGTGGCATTCACAACCACGGAGGGAGTAGCCAGCTCCACCAGAGCCTCGTAGGTGCCGACCACAAAACCCACGAAGCCGAAAAGGCTGATCACAACATCCTTGATGATGACCACGGGGTGCAGTCCCTCGGAGTAGAAGGTGGCGATCTCCAGCAGCGGGGGGAAGATGAGAGCCAGCGCGCTGCTGCTCACGGAGCCCACCAGCGAGATGACGATGTCGAGGCGCGGGATGAGGATGGCCAGCACACCTGAGGAAGGAGGACACAGCTTGCTTAGCAAGGCACAAAGACACTGCCAGAACCGGCCTCCCAAGTCAAAGCGAGCAAAGCAGATGACATCTCTGACAACTCAAGTTGCACCTCTGCCCTCTTGCCTGATACCACAAGCTTTGAAGAGATAATTGCATATTTACAATCATCTCCCCAAGCAATTAAGCTGTCACATTTAATAAACAGAGCACACCATATAGGCCTGTTCACCTCCCAAAACAGAAGACTGAAAAGCTCTCTCCACCCAAGAGCAGCACCAGCTCACCCCAACAGCCCCCAGAGTCCTCCCTGGGACCACTCACACTCATCACAAACCACCACCCTCACCACCCGTGCTGTGTGCCACCAAGGCACTGAGGGAATCGCTTTGGAGAATGCAAAGCCACAAGAAAGTGACATGTGTGGAGCACATCTCTCCCTTGGCAGCCACTCTGCACTGGTTCCCAGGAGCAGATATGATCTGGAAACACCAGGGGCAGTGTCCTGCAAGCAGAGGTCTCCACTCAGATGGAAATCACTACATTTTTTCCAAACTTTTGATTGTTTTTACGCCAATACCAGGACAGACCCCTCTAACCTCCCTCATCCCTGAGCTAGCAGCTGCAGACCAGAGAGCACTTGGGTGGCAGCCCCTGGCAGGTTTCTCCCTTCGGACCAAGCTCTGCCCATAGTCTCAGCATTCACAGAAATCACACTGAATGTTTCCTGGCAAGGCACAAGGCCCTGCCCTCGAGCTGCCACAGGTCGAGCATGATAACGGCCCCGGGCCAACTGATGCTGCTTGCAGGAGGAGAGGTTCTGGCATCTCTGGCCTCCATCGCAGGAGCCAGCATCACGCACTCCACCTCCAAGGTCTCTTCCTCCACACCTGGGGAGCTGCAAAGCCTCAAAAAACCTGACAGAGCAGGAGGCAGCAAGAGAAAAAAAAAGCTGTATTCCCCCACACACACACCTCTGAACAAATCCATTTGTTTTGCATATGTTTAGAGCTGTTCCAGAGCAACAGCGCCTACACCACAGTCTGTGGGAGAGGATTTGTTAAAAACGAACTTGAGCCAAAAAAAAAAAAAAGCCCCCGAGAGGCTTTTCACAACTTTCTCCTAGGAGCTGCTAGGAGATTTTCTGATTTTTCTCCCCTCTATCTGTTGTAGGATGGCAGAGGAAGTGGGGAAGGACCTGCTTCGAATGAGGGTATAAGCCCAAAGAGCATCATCACAGTCCAGCTGTGGGGGCAGCCTCATGGCTCTCCTCTGGGTCTGGCCTGGATTTCCAACATAAACTAAGGTTACTAATGGCATAAGGCAGCAACAGGTGAACAAGTTCGTATTACTGGGTGCTTCACATGTTTGGGGATAGGACTCAGTCCTGACCTGGTACCCTTCCTCCAGCCTGAACAGCAAGGAAACGTGCACTGTTTGCCACAGAAATCCTGCCCCAATGAAGCCCTCAAAAGCCAAGCTGATGGAGCCATGAAGTCACTGCAGGGGCCTTCTGCAGGCTGCCTGGAGGACCAGGCTGAGGGTGTGGGTTGGACAGGCAGAGCTCCAAGCAGGTGACAGCAGAAAGGGGCTCTGTGCTGCAAGAAGCCAAAGCCCTGCCCTGTCACCTCTCTGCCACAAGGAAGTCCAGGCTCCTGCAGACCAAGGGGAAGAGCTACTAACAGCATCCTCAGCCCTCCCCCCACCATCCTTTGGACACAAAGTAAACATCATTAAACCCCACTCAAAAATAAGCAGAACTAAAGTACCAGCTGCAGTCCTCAGCCTCCGGGGGCAACGGTTGCACTTTCCGCAGATATTAATTCAAAGGGCTTTTAACCGTGCTGGTTTTGAAGTCTAAGTTTAAAAGACACCCATATAGCAAATTGCATCCTCTATTTGGAAGCCAAAGCCACGATGCAGGCTTGTTCTGTGGCCACAAGATCGTCTGATGAATATTCATGCAACTCCATAATTGCTTTTATCCTCGCCAGCAGCCACAGTGATCTCTGACACTGAAAGATAAGGATAGGGGGTATAAAGGAACCTGCATCCTTCCACCAACACCTCTCTGTGCCCAGCCCCAGGGTTAGGTACAGTCACTGCTGTCACCTAAAGCCACCCCCTCGCCCTAAGCTCTTGCTCACCTGTGCAGTCCCCCCGACACCGTGGGCTCCCATCCCAGAGGCAGCCTCTCAGCTTGACCATTAGGACACAGGTGAGCAGAGCACGTGTCCCAGCACAGATTAAACACAGGTTTAATCTTTGCTCTGTCCCTCCAGCCTTCCTGAGCTCCCCATCTCACACAGACACCAGCTTTTCAGCCTCAATCTGTAGTTCAAAGGAGAGACAGAGATCAAACGCCCTCCTTGTGCACTGTGATCCTGCTCAACGCTGTCTCCAGCTCTTCCCATGCAACGTGGGAGAAGGCAGAACAAATAGCCCATGCTCTTGTTTTTCAGCTGGGCAGTAAAAGGTTTTCTCTTTTTCTTCAGGGAACAAAAGGCCTCAAGATCAAAGCTAACTCTTCTCAAAACAGGCCCTGGGCAAATAAGGGGCTGGGGAGAAGGAGGGAAATGATGAGTAGGCTCTTTGAGAGTCTGCATTGCCTCCTGTGTGGCCAGGCAAAGCCTCGTGGCTAAGCCAGTAGGTGCTATGGAGTTACTCTTCCCTGGACTAAAGATTCAGCAAAAGGTACCACCCATACCCTCCTGCTCCTGCAGCTCATTTCTTTTACGTAGGACATTTCCCAGCCACTGAGGAAGGCTTGGGCAAGGCTCAGCCTGGAGCGGTTGTGCCTGACTGTGGGATCTCCACCCATACTGAATGCTACCAGCTGTGGATGTTCTGCAGTGGCCAAGGGTACCCAGACCCCAGGGCAGGGCATTGCAGACATGAGCATCAATGCACCAACAGCTTGGACCAGAGCTTCAGGATGGGACACGGCTTCATCCATCTCAGTAAAGGCAGCATTTCTGGACCATCATCATTATAGAGAGCCCAGAAAACAACAGGCTCTCTGCCAGCTTCATCTTCTGCAAGTTAGTGCTGTATTTTTCTCACAAGCCCCAAACAAAGCCAGCTAGGACCCAGAGTGCAGCTCTCCGACGCTGAACTCTGGTGCATCAGCAGCATCAAACTATGGAGCAAAGGTCTTTCTTGGTGGAAGAGAAGACGCCTGGGAGCTCATTCAAGCGTCTCAGCTGTGCTGACAACAGCAAGGATGTCATCGTGACCAGGAATCAAAGCCAACCAAGACCGTATACTCCTGTGCTTCAGTGACCCATTGCTCCTCAGGCTTCAACAGCTCTGCCTTTCCCAGCTCACATTTCCCCCCGTTAAACAATAGGCAGACAGGTCAAACCCTATTCCTCAACCTGTTAAAAAAATCACAGTTCACTTCACTTTCCAAAATATGCAGACAATTGCATGCAATTACTTTTAAACCAGGCAGGGAGTGGCTGGCATCAGGCTGCATCTCAGTGTGAGAACCGTGCATCAAGCACTTGTCTTTGGCGTTGCCTCCCAAAGCTAAGCAGCCTTCTGCAAGGAAGACCAAAGAGCTTCCAAAATAACAAGATAGAGCTGTCCACAGCACTGGCACACCAGGGCTTTGGATACAGACCAACCATCCATGGATCATTTTCAGTTATCTGCTGTTGTGCTACATACTGCAATAAAACATGTGCTTGGAAAAGCAATTATGTACTTGGCTTTTCCCTGCTGCTGTCAGACATCACCCAGCTTTCAAAATAGAGTCCAACCAACTCAGCAGGGAAACTGAAGAAGGAAGGGAGGTAGGCGTGCATGGAAGCAACCAAGAGGTTATCATAGCATAACTGGTAAGTCAAACTGCTCACAATAAGGATTTCCTGGCTGGATCTGGCTTTTCCCTGCTCACTCGAGATTTCTTCTCAATAGCCATCAAGTATTTTCATTTTTTTTAATCTATAGTTTCACATTTTGATTTGTTTTAGAGAAAACCCAGGTAAGGCATCAAGTGCAAACACACATCTACCTCAAGTCCCACACTCTGAAAGGGATGCCATTACATGCTAGCATAGGCCTGGAAAGGGTTGGGAAAGGACACCTATCCCCCCACTGCAAGCAAAGCCTGTCAGCATAACCCCCCATGCCACAAGGTCTAAGCACCTTCCAGACAGAGGAAGCATAAGGGAATGTGACACTTGCCTCAGTCTCCCCACGAGGGATAATCCCCACAGGCTGCTCCTCAGCAGCGGAGGCTGTTCCACAGAGAGGGGCTGGAGAACCACTGCTGCTGCCTATGGCTTTCCTGGCCCTCTGGTTTGCATTAGAAAGGTTCAGGAGACCACCAGGGCAGTGCCAACAGCAGAAGAGGTGGCAGACCAGGGCTCAGTATTAGCAGCCTGCAGTGGGAAGGAGGCAAGCTCCAAACAGACGGTTCCTACTCACAGGTGATGCCAACCAGGGCTGTCCGGAGCAGCAGGTTGACCAGCAACCCCCAGCGCTCCGAGACTCGCGCGATGACAGGAGGGATGATGATCTCGGCGGGCACGTAGAACTGCACAGCGTACGTGAAGAAAATGCCAAAGGAGAAGAGCAGCTTCACGGCTTGGTACAACCTACAGATGAGAAGGAGGGGAGCTGGTGAGACAGGCTCTTGTTCCAAACCCCTGACATCAACTGAAGACAAAAAGCAGAGAGGTACATTGTGCCAGAAGGACATCAGTGTCTCAATTGTTTCCCTTCCACACATCCCCCTTCCAAATTAAGGGGCAATGCCTCAATCCGCTGAGCTGCTTCTTGTGTAATAGATGGTGAGGAGATAGCGCAACCTGCAAGCCCTGACAACATGTCCTCTAATTAGAGGCCTCAAGTTTGGCTTTGCGTAAGGAATTGGCAGGCCAGGAATTGAGACACTAGTCTTTCAAGTGCCACTTCCCCCTTGGGAAACCTCTAGGGGACAGATATTTATGGGCCCTTTCGGGGCCAGCCTATTTTTAAGTAAATCCCATTCCATTCTTAACTTATTCAAGAGTGCAGAGAAGGTTGATGCATCTTTGACCAAGAGACCAGAACCTAGTTTTTCCTCACACATTAAGGCACCTACCTACATTTCTAGAGGCTCAAAAGACCAGTGGCAGCTCATGTGCACAATGCTGCCCTTGCCACACAAGGTCAGAGTCCTCAGGACACCTCACACCTGATGGAGAGATAGAGGCTCCTTGCCGCCCTCTCCACTTCCACGTGACGGGGTGCACTCCGTAAGGCATGCAGGGACATGGGGTGGCCCTCCTCCTGGCTGCCACACAGTGCACACACCACGGACAACACCGGAATTAGGAAATCGTCCTCACCCGAGAGACAGCTAATAGCACCGATACCCGCAGGAACCTGCAATCCCGACTCGCAGAAGGAAGTTACATCCACAGCCCCTCACCGAGCATTTCTTATCTTTGCCTCCACTAGTGAAGTCCAACTTCCCAGCTAAAGGTTGGAAAAAAGCTCATTTTCTCCTGGTCGTAACGAGCAAGATGTTTTTCTCTAACTTAAAATAGGAAATGAAGAATATCTTCAAAGAGGACTATCAGCTGCAGCCATGAATACCTCATAGGTTTCAATCATTGCTTGACTCCCAAGAAGAACCTTCTCAAGAGGGTAAGTCTGGGCTTACCAAATTAACACAAGGCAAACATCACCACCACCACCTGCAGCTCAGCTGCCCCCAAGAAACAGAAAAACAGCAGCTATTTCTGGAATGCTGCATAATGTATGTTTGGGGAAAGGACAGTTAAAATAGTTTAGGTTGCCTAGAAGAAACTCAGTACGCAGACAGACAGCAAACCAGAGCTTGCACTTGCTCCAAGTCAGACCTCCCTGTGTCCCAGATGCTACAGCACAGTGAGAAGAGACAAGGGCAGCTCCAGAAGAACCAGCTGCAGCTGAAGAGAGGAAACCACCCCCAGCTCCTTGGCAATGGAACAAGCCTCTGTACAGAGCAGTGATACCCAGTTACGTTACACATGGCCCTACTTATTCTCCTACACAGACATGCTGGTCAAGTCGGACAGCAAATCAAACGTGAGTTGGGGGCATGTCCTGGCAACAATTAAGGTTAATCATGCACTGGTTTTAGTAAGAGCAGGCAGCAGGTTAAGGAAAGGTATTACTCCCCTCTCCCTTCTGTTCTGAATAGATGGGAGGAAAGTTTTTTACCCCAAGGGTAGTTAAGCACTGGAACAGAGACCCAGAGATGTGGTGGGAATCCCCATCCCTACTGAGATTGAAAATTTCAGCTGGGACTGCTCAGAGTGAGAGTTTGGACCCAATGACCTTATGAGGTTGTCCCCAACTTAAATTATCCTGCGATTCTACAGGTAAACAAAGGCCAGAAGTCATGTCAGAGTCCAGAGTGCACCCACTCAGCCACAGCATACTGCTTGTGACTTGAGTGTGCAATTGCCTTTAGCCATCTCTCCCATGGTTTGCAATATCCTACAGTTGTATTTCCAAGCAAGGGAATATCAAATGTTGTAAAGCAATAAAGTGCTCCAAGGCTATCCACATTTAAGAGATGCTATTTTCAAAGTTACAGAATAAGGTTGGGTCAAGATCTTGCATAGATCAGAAGAAACCAGCACAATAAGCACAAAGGGCAACTTCAAGAAGGGGAAGACCTCACCCCTAGCCATGACCCACACAGAAAGCAGGTTCACTTGGGGCCTCGGAGAGGGACTGCTGTGCAGAATGCAGCCAACGTCTGCTTATTCAGGAGGCCACCCTAGGCTACCCCTACAAGCTGCAGTTCAAGATATTTCTGCAAGAGATGGCATCCTGTTCTCTGACCAAAGAATCTTTAACTTCATACCTCCAAATGGTCACACACGAGCAAACACGGTTGCCCTTGCTACAGCATTTCTTCACTTTTCAGATGGTGGGGTGAAGAAACCCTTCTGAGGTTGCAAGGAGGGGTTTCTGCATAGCAGCACAATATTTCGTGGAGATCATGGTTGGACCAGGGCACTCTGAACTAATACACTGCTCTTGGGAAAGCTTTGGAAAGAGCAGGGAGGTTGGAAAAAGTCCTTAGTCCTCCTGTATCTCAGTCATTCCTCAAACACTTACCAAGTCTGTTCCTAGAGACCTCCAGGCAATGACTTCAGCTACAGAAGGATGTAGCATCTCCTCCACAATACCTGCCTTATGTTCCCCGTGCTGCAGGCAATCCCCATGACTTCCTGCCCACAGCCCTCATGAGCAGCCACTGTGCTGCAGAGCCCTATTGCTGAGGAAAAACAGGCAACAAAGCAGAATTTATTTCCAGAGCAAGTCTTCACCCATCACCTAAGGTTTAATGCAGGTATGGGAATACAGTGTTCAAGAGTTCAGCTTTAATTTCCCAGCCCTTACTTTAACAAGACAGATAACACATTTCCAAGTCCAATATTTACAACCTCCATTGAATGTTCTGCCAGAAAAGAACATGTACAAACAGTGAAGTGCTTGGTGTGCAGAACCACGATAGACCACAGCACTCCTTCTCCAGAGGCAGCCTGTAGAGCACACGAGCCCTGCCTCTTCCCTGAGCCTCTTTGTGCACCACTTACAAAGGGCACTGTAACTTGTTCTTTCTGTATAAGAAAAACCCTACAACTTCTTCCATAAAAGAACTTTGATGGAAATTGTAGATACTTCTAAAGGTGTGCATTCAACATATGATCCTTTAGAGACTAAAAATAAACTACTACTTCAGTTCTCTCAGTTTCCCGCTTTCAAGAACAGCGGCAGCATTTCATCTTCCCACCTCATCTGAGGCTATTTAATCTGTGTTTTATCTGTAGGTGTTGAGCTGATGGGATTCATACTTACTGTGCTCTGCAAGTTGGGATTCAAATCTCATAATAATGCTGACACATTTTTCAAAAGATCAATCCCTTCTCACCAACAGAACAGTCACCTGTGAATACTTCACATTGCAAGGCAGTTAAGTCAGGGCTCTCAGCAGGAGCAAGACTCTGCTCGCATTCTTCCTTGGGGATGAACATGAAGACACTGCACTGAGCAAGCATTTACCCTCCCAGGAACAGACCTACAGGCGCACTGCTGGCCCCCAGGAAAGGTAAAAGCCAACAGGAGGAAGAAGAGATGTTCAGGCAGAGGATTTGGTCTTGTCACTCGAGTGTCCCGTGTCTTTACCTCACACAAAAAGTCAGCGCAGCCCGAACTGCAATAAGATGGAACAAGAGACTAACGAGTTTTTCCCTAGCTCTTGCCCTTCGCTACCTTCCCTCCAAGTCCTTTGAGACCAGCTCCTGAGAAGACATCTCTACAGCTCTGAAGGGCCAGAGAAGCACTGGCTCTACAGAGGAGTTCAAACCCCTCCACAACACACTTGCACTTCCAAGCCATGTGCAGCAGCATACAGAGGTGCTGAGCACCACAACTCAATCATGCATTTTCCAATGCACTTTCCAGTTTGCATTTCCCATGCATTCCATGTATTTTCCAGTTTGGCAGCTGGGGACCAATATGAGCCGCATGGGCAGCAAAGAGCCTGCTATGTCTGGGCAATGGCATGCAACCTGGCCAGCTGCTGCAACAGCCAGCAGCTGCTGGCAAGAAGAGAAATGACACCTCTGGATAAGCATTTAATGACACCTCTGGATAAGCGTAGCCTAAGTGCTAGGCCATGCATGTTTCTGTAGGGCTCTGATCCTTCAGGCCAGTGACTGAAGCCTTGCAAGAAGCCTTGCAAGATCCCAGAAGAGGACAGACAGGTTTGGGGAGCTGCAGAACTTGGCCCCTAAGGGAAGGGGTATCCTCACAGCAACAGCTCCCACAAGCAAAGTCTCATCTAGGCATGATGCAGAGCCCAGCAGTGGGAGTTTGAGCTCCAGGGCTACAAACAGGAACGCAACTCCGATGTGAGATGTCACATCTCTCCCCTACAGGGAGCTCCCAGCTCTGGGTTTAGTTTTCAGTATGCTTCATTTGGGGAGAAGTTGTTTTTTGCTGTTCACAGACCTTACAGAGTCTCATTAAAGTTGGATTTCAAGTCCTCTTGCCCTCAACACTACAAGTATTGACAATGAGATCTCTGCTTAGCCCCCAAAATAAGGCTGCGAGGCTCCAAGAAAGGATGGGAGCAGCATCTAGCAAGGCAGGAGCCATTAGATACCCTTAGGAAAACGATGAACCCCACAGAGAATCATCTCCCAAGCTAGAAAGTCAAGACCAAACCCAGCAGCAGGTGCTCAGACACCTCAGCAACAAGCACCTCTCCTTTCCATATGCCAGATGACACTTGACAAGCTGCTTGGGACACCACCAGCACTTCCTTCATTGTCACCATTGCCCCACTCCCAAACCCATCCAGACTAGTTCTTCTAAGGAGCAACTTCCACCACACTGCCCTCTTTTCCACATCCTCGGTGAGGACCATCCTCCCTTGCTGCCCTGGCCCCTCTGCTCCCACTCAGGAACTCACCAGCAGTTGGGCAGGTTGAGCGTTATGCTGCCCTGGATTTCTGCTCCGAAGCGCAGGTACCCCAGGACGCCCAGGCTAATGTACAAGACTGTGACGATGGTCATCCCCACGTAGAGGATCACTGGGAAGTGCTGGGGATTCTTCATTTTGTTTTCCAGAGGTAATACCTTGGGGAGGAAGAGAAGGGAAGAGCAGAAGAGCACATTTCTCCCGGTTTCTGCAGGCTGCATGGTCCCTGATGTGGGCACAGAGTCCAGGACACAGCGGCAATTGGAGCCAGCTGCTGCACTTATGCAGGGCTGCCAACAGAGCGGAGGCCAGGATGGAGAGTCCAGATCAAGGCACAGCTTCCCCACCGCAGCCCCACACATAGACATGCAGCAAACAGGATAGTCACATGAGTTTTCCAGAGACTCCTGGGTCATATAGAGTGCAGAAAGTTGCTATATTGGGGATCCAACTTCTAGCACTAGAATTTGAGACCTACAGACTTCATACAGCAAGCCCCAGCAGGGCAAATTCATGCCTTTGCCTTAAAAAAAGGGACCATATCTCTCTCCATGGCACAAGACTGCACTTACGAAGCAGTCTGACTTTGTGGGGAGATGCAGCCTGGACCTCGCCTGCTTCAAGCTCTGTGCCCCAAAGCAGCCCAGCAATGGCCTCTGGAACAAGCCTGGCACGAGCCCCTGCTTTCCCCCAGCAGACACTGCAAACTTTCTGCTCTCTCATCAAGTTTGTTTGAAGAGATTTCAGGTAGGCAGACAATAAAAAGGGGAGGGACAGAGACAAGTCCCTCACCTCTGCACTATTAGCACTTACTTTCAAATACAGGATTTCAGCAAACAACTTTAAAAGTGATCTTGGGTGACAGGGATGGCAAGGAGGGACAAAGCAGAGAAGCTGGTGAAGAGGCAGGACCAGAAAAGCCTTTATTTGTTTCCTCACCTCCAAGCTGTGCTAGGAAGAGAGTTTTTGTGCCTTACTGCTTGCAGGAGCTATGAGTAGGAGCTATGAGTATTCTGTAAATATGCCTCAGTATAATGGAATTGGCATTCTCCATCCCTGTGTTTACCCAGCCAGTTTATATTAAGAGATGAAAACACTTTTTCCTCCTTTGAAGGGAGCTCCCGGAAACAGCCCACAACATCTTAGCAAGGCATTAAGCACTCCACCCACCCAGCTTTTCCATAGACACGGCCGTCTATTTACAGCATCTTCACAGTATGAGAAGCACATGCAAATTCAGCACCACAGCAGACTGAAGCCAAGCGGCTGCTAAAGGGAGATCACTCTGCCTTCCTCGCAGGGTGAGTAGGAATAGATCACATTTTGTCCTGCTTTTCAACCTCCCACTGGGCAGCTTCAGGAATCTTCCTTCATAAGCCAGTAGGCAGAGCCAAACAGAGCTTCCAACGAAGTTCCTAGGAGAGCCCAATTTAGGGTCAGATACCGACATCTTCAAAGAAGCAAACAAACTGTTGAGGTTTAGAGCTTTGCTCCTCCAGCCTCAGATGGAAAAGTTTGACCTAGACTATTGCCTGGAGGCTAAAATGAAAAGCATCACCCAGCATTCAGGCTGCTGTCGGAGAAGTTCCTCTGCAAATACAGCTGCAATGCAGAGCAGGTGCTGCTGCAAGCACAAGCACGGGCTCAGCCTCCTGCACAGCCAACACTTACCACTCCAATGCCTTCAAAGGCAAAGATCGCAGTGCCAAAAAACAGCGGGTAGGTCTTCCAGGCTGCTGCTAGAGGCAGGTCACTGGGATCGGGAATGCCCTGGAAAAAAGCCCACACAATTAAGACACAAAGAGGAAAGGGAGCACCCGGCCCATTCCCAAGGCTCCCTGTCACAGCCACCTGCCAGACCAGAAAGCTGCACAGAAGCAGAGGGTGATGCATGGTGCCCATGGGGACATGGGGCTGCACACCCACTGTGTGCACTGGGTCACACCACTGCTGCAACCCTGTGGCCTCCAAACACCTCAGCCTGGCATTTACTGCCAAGCTCCCTCCTCTTCTGGAGGGTAACTTCACTGCTAAAGCACAAGACATCACAGAAACTTCAATGTGCCTCGGCACACCCACATACCCTGATGATGTACTGGTAGATCACGATGAGGCTGCCAAGCATGGCCACGTTGGCCAGCATGGAGAAGATGGACAGGACCTTGAGATTCTGGATAAACGTGAGCAGCACCACAAAAGGCAGCAGAGAAACCATGTAGAGCCGGGAGTCCATTGTAGGGGTCAAGGCCACAGTTTTGTTTGGGCTGCAGTCGTTGGTGGTACCGTTTGCTGCAGATACGACCTGAGGAAGCAGAGAAATACTTGGCAAACCTCATAGCATGAGGTTGACAACCATGGCTCTGTCAGCCCTTCCCAGGCAGGTCAGACTACTACCCCCTCAGCTCATTTATGTAGTAAGTTGCTTGAAATCCAAGCAATACAAGTTTTAAAGACACTGGGGCCTGTGGTTTCTAAGGAGCACGTGGCTTCTTGTGAGGAGCACACATGGGAGCAATTACTGCCTCTCACTTGAGGACACTGCCAAGGCCCAGGCTCCTTGGGCAGGCAACTCAGCCACCGCGTGCTCTGCTCTGCGCCCCACGGGCCACCACATCTGCTGCAGGGCAGGGGATGGTTTGCATAGCCCACATGGCAAGATGACAGGACAGGAAAGAGACATTAAGTGCTATTTTCTTAAAAATCCCTTTCCTCTAGCAGTATCATGTTGTTCTCAAAACCACGTCCCCTGTCAGCTGCCCTGTGCCTTCTTTGCAGGCGGAGGAGCGAAGCCACTGCACTACAGACACCACGTAGAGATCAGACACCCTGCAAGGAGATCTGGTATCTACTCTTGACTCCTGACCCTGCACTTCCCAGGGAAAAATCATACTTTCCTCGTGTCTTTCAACCCAAAGGCCCTCCAGGCCATGTCTTCATCTCTAGAGGCAAATTTACCCCAACATTTGGATGGTTGCAGCATCCTTTCCAAGGGCACAGACGCATTTCAGATCACCTGATATAACTGGCAAGGATAGAGATGGTTCAGGTATCAGATGTTGTCTGCTCACTGCAGCAAAGGGCTGCATAAAAAAAAATTTTACTTGCTCATGCACCAGAACAGAGCTTATGTGCAAATCAAAATGTTCACAATTTTTATATGTGAAAGAAGGCAGGGCAGAGACATGGCACCCTGCAGAGCAGTGTTTTCCCCAAGCCCTCCTCCTGCTTTGCCTCAGGTGGCTTGCTCAGAAGCAGTTTTGCAGAGCAGAGCTCGGCCCAGTGCAGCAGGACCCTGCCCAAGGTACCACCTGCACCACAGCTCCCCACCTAACCCCGTTCAGCACCGCAAAAAAGACCAAGTTACACTCCCCTCTCCCCACCCAACAGAATTCCAAAACCTAGGCCAAGGGGGTTCCCGCTTGTGGCTTGAAATGGGTTGGATTTTCAGTGGTTTTGCAAATTTGATTTGCACTCTGAGGCAGCATTCAGCCTCCAAGACTGCTCAGCAACAAGAGCGGTCTCTATAGAAAGAAGCCCCTTTCGCAGGAGCAGCAAGAGGCTGCTAGCAGGGCTCAGTGCAGCTGCAGCAGCCTCACGTGCATGCACCCGACTGACCCTTGCCTCAGACTCACTCCAGCTCTCAGAGCAGGATGGAGAAGGCTGCTGCAAAGATTAAACAGTCCCTGCACATGCACATTTCTCTGCCCTGAGGAAACAGAGGCCTCTTTCAAGTAAGAGGAGACCACACAAGGGCTGCAAACCCCCAGGAATTCAACATGGAAGATGCTCTGGCTCCTCTTCCCCACTCCTGAAGCTCTGATGGTCTCAATGCCTTTGTCTGCTTTTACAAATACCCCAAACTGGCGCTTCACACCACCCCAGGAGAGGGAAAAAATCTATCAGGGATGCAAGCAAGGCCCAGTTGAGGATATCTGTAGCCTTGTCACTCCCGCGGGCACTTAGCACATCAAACCACTGCCCTCCCTGGATGTTTCACGGCCACAGAGAGCCCCGTGGGAGGAACTCACCAGACCCCAGTGGCAATAATCTCCCTGCCCCTTGGGCACTCCAAGAGGTGCAGCCCAGCCCCAAAGCAAGGCCCACAGGCAAGGCCTGCGCCCCGCTCCCAGGACCCACGGGCCTTTCCTCCAAAGCCAACCCACTGGCAGCGGGCACAGGAGCTGCTTTGCAGGCCCCTTCCCCCCAGGACACCTCCTCGCCCAGCGTGGGGGCGTTTGGCAGGAGCTCCTCAGTGCTCACACGTTCACGCCACCGGCAGGCCCGCAAGGCAAGATGAAGGGAGCCCGAAGGGCGGCTGCTGCTTGCCGAGGGAGGCAGAGCCGCCCTTTCATCCTCTGCACGCGGGCTTCCAGAGCAGCCCCTCTTTGGCAGCACGGCCCTTTGAAGAGGAGGTGCTTAGAGCAGCCCCCACGCGCCCGCAGGGCTCAATGGCAAGAAGCCACCTCTGAGCTTTGCTGTTACCTGTGTCTAAGCCTCCCTCTTGCCCAGCCCGTGTGGGAGCCCACCTGCTCGCCCACTGCCCCACATGGCTTCATGTGAGCCCTCACCACCCTCTCGTGAAAAAGGGATCCATCCATCCTGTCTGCTCTCCTCAGACACACCACCAGCCTCATGTTAAACAGTCCAAATTTTCCTTTCCAGGAAGTTTTCCCTAAAGCTTAGGCAGTAAACAACAACTGCTCCCTCCTTACAAAAGCTCAGCCTTGGAGCCAGCTTCCTGCTCCAGGGAAAAGCAGCAGCCAAGCAATCCTCCAACCACAGCAGTTCAGCAAAAGCCCCTTAGCTCTAGCAGTGAACAAGCGGGGAAGATCTGGCTATTGCCATAGTGGATGCAAAGGAAATTGCTGCTGCAGTGTCTCTTAAGAGCAGCAGAAGCTTGCAGGGCAGGAAGGGAGCAACGCTGAAGACATCTGTGAGGCTCTGAGCTGTGCAGAACCTGAGAACAGGGACTTCTTATTCTCAGTTTTTTATAGCTCAAGAGGTAAGCAGCAGACAGTTAAGCTGTTGCTGTTTATTTCCTACCGATGCCTAGCAGAAGGAAGCTCTTTCCGTGCAACATGTAATTAAGCTGCAGAACGAACCACTGCCACAGGATGAGGCAAGAAACCAGAATGTAAACGGGTCCAAGAAAGGGAGGGGAGAAGTTCATCCCAGGTCCCAGGAGCCGTTATTGTCTACATATAGCATCAATAAACCAATTGATCAAGCTAGGCAGGTTATCAAAGGAGCAATCACGCTGTGTCGACCTCATTCCTGCCTGCCTTCTACAACACTTGGCCTCTGTTTCACCCGGGTCTAATGCTTCTTTATGCAAAAGAAACTCACAGGAATTTTCTGGAGCAAACCTGTCCTCTCTGGCCAGCTTAACAGGGAAATTGATATAAAATAATTGGGCAGAGGAGTTAAACTTTCCAAAGAAACATAATTGGGCAGACGAGTTACATGTTCCAGGGAAATGTGAGTTATGGAAAAGGGGCTTTCTCCAAAGAACATGGCTATAAGAGCATTTAGCTTCTTCATACACTCTCTCCCAAACCAAAGGGCTTCTTCCCTCCTGCCTTTCTCTTGTTTACAGAAAGAAGGTGTAAGTCTAACCTGTTTTAGATTATCAGCTAGAAAGACGAAGTATACGCAGCAGAAACCCAGCTGAGTGAGGATCAGGAAAAGTCCCACTACACGCCTAGGGAAGAAAAGAGATTGTTTATTAGAAAGGTCACTAGATAAGACTGGACTTTGCCTGCCCTGCACCCTTTGAGCCTGGAGATTAGGCTCAAACACTGCAAAGTTCCCTTCCTATGGGGACAATATGTGCAAGCCAGAGCATTGCCTGGTCACATTCTTCAACACTCAGAAAGGGCACTGCATCTCATCCAGTCTCACAGACCTCAGGCTCTCCAGTCCCCTCTCCTAAACCCTGGGCAGGACCAGGACCAGCCTTGGTGGGAAAGGCCTTGCTAACTGCCCGCCTTGGGTTTATAATCTCCAGTCTGCAGCTGAATCATCATTCCCTCCCCAGACACAGGAATAAGTAGATGTTTTCAGCATCTGATGTGCCTCTGTTCATAAGGCTGGAAGCAACCCTGAAGCAGCTGTTAGACCTCAGTGCTCACTGATTAACAAGAAGATGGACCAGTGCACTGCAGCACACATTATTTACCTTCCTTATGCTGCAGACATACTCCCACTTCTTTGGTATAGCTCTAAGACAGGACACATTCCCTAAGTGACATCTGCATGGGATATTCTGTAGGAATTTCATCTTCTCTCGACAGGACTACTACCCAGTGCTATAATCTCTGGGAGGTATTTTATATATCTTATGATCTTGCATATCTTATGATCATCTGTCAGCACAGTTCAGAGACCAGCCTGCTCTTGCACCTCGGCTTTGGCCAGCTCTAGGTTTAAAGGAAGGCCTAGGTTTAAAGGAAGGCTCCTCCCCAGCAGGAGAGGAGACAGGTACCTTCCCCAGACGGCGTGTGTCCGAAGCCAAGCACTAGGAGTTGACTCCAGGCCATACATCACGGCACCCCCGTAGTCCACAAACTGCTTCTGGAATCTGTCCAGAGGAGAGAGAAAGAAAAGATGTCACGTTGACCGCATTTGTTGGCCTCCAAGGCAAAAAGCAACATCAAAAGAAAAAAACTTTTCTGCAACAAAGTCCAGAAAGAGCTCCTGTGACACTAACCCATTTATCCCCGGCAGGCGTTATATGAGTTTGTGAACTGCCCGATCATCCCCTCGGGTGTGCACTTAAAGGATGGGAAGGCCGGGAAGCATCTGCAAGCTGGAGAGCCAGCAGTCATGGCTCCAGAGCTCCCTCCAACACCCAGAGGAGATCCTAGGAGTTCCCATCACGGCATGGGCCAGGGACCAGGAGCAGTGCGGAGCACTAGGGCTACTCCTTACCTGTAGCAGAAGTGATGGGCGCATTTCACTAGGATGCTCATGCAGTGCACAGCCACGATTCCCATCACAAACAGGCTCAGAGGCCCCAACTGCACAGAAAGAGAGAGGAAAGGCTGCACTCTGATGGCCAAAGCCAGAGCTGCAGCATGGGTTTTACTCACAAAGAAAAACAAATAACTTAGTACCCCAGCCCAGCAGACTCAGTGAAATGCCACTGCAGAGCCAACAGGAGCTCCAGTGCTCGTCCCTGGGAACCAGCCCAACCCAGCACCAAATAAACCCTACAGAAAAGTCATGAACTTGGCAGGAATGATGCAAAGCAAGCAAGTTGAGGCAGTTTGGCCATAGGAAAGCATTTTAAGGATTACTTTTTAAGCTTCCCATCTTGCACTTCATTATTATACAGGTGCCAGGTAGGAGGTCACAGTCTGGTGAGAGGAAGGAAATTTTCTATTTGTAACCCGAAGAATGGGAACGCTGCACTCTTGAGCAAAGAAATCCAGAGGAGAGCAGTGCGCTGCCCCTCTCACACCACCAAGCCTGCACTGGGGCATGCTGAGCACCATGGCAAAAGCAGCACAGAGAAGTGACAGTGTCCCGGGGCTGCTATGTTTGCCTGGCAAGTGCAGTCTCAGCCCTCAGGCTGCATCACATCCATGAATCTTGGCCAAAACTCAGACCTGCAAGGCTGGCTCAGCCCAGGTGAAACCACAGCGAGGGAAACACTGTGTTCTCACTTTGCAGGACTTCACTGAGGAGCTGCAGGGTTCATCACACGTGTGCTCAGCTCCTGGAAGCTGCGGCCGGCACACAGTGTACTCAGCACAGACAGGCCAGGGACACACCAAGGTGGGACCTGCCGCCCACGGCACCAGGGAGCAAAGATATTATCTGAGAGCAGAACGGACCATTCTGCCATCAGCAAGAAAGGGGTTGACACCACGGGAGCAGCAGGACAGCACTCAGCTCAGCGTGGAGGCAAGAGCCCAGCACCCTGCTCGACTCCAAGCAGAGGAAAACCACAGCCCAGTCACACATGCTGAACTGATCTACATCAGCTAATGTGATATAGAAGCAGGCAGCACAGCCACGGCAGGAAACTAGCAAGAGTCCAAGGTGCGAATGCTTGCAAGCCGGTGAGCAGCAGGAGGCATCTCAGCAGGGATGTGCCACCACACCAGCAGCACGAGCTGGACAGCTTACCAAGATGCCCGCGTTCTTCACAGCCAGAGGCAGCCCCAGGAGGCCTGTGCCGATATTCCCCTTCAAGAGGTGGATCAAGGTCTGGTACCATCTGAGAGAGGGAAGATAGGACCACCACAAGCATCAGCAGGAGCCCTTGCCATACGGTCTCAGTCTATACACAGCTGCAGCAAATGCATCCAGAGGCTGAGACCACCTCTGCTGAATCCAGCTGGGCTCTGGGTAGGAGCCAGGGAGAACCCCAGGCAAAGACTAAGCAAACAGCTTTGGGCTGAGTATTTACCTCCAGGTAAAACCCAATGGGAGCTCAGCTCAGCTGCGTGATCAGAAACTCCCGGGGTCAAATGGCCAAAACATGAAGGCTCCTCAAAGACATCAGCATCCTCTGGTAATGCTCAGGAGATGCTGTCCTAACCCACAGGGGTAAGAGACACCTCAAATTTTATTATTCAGTAGAGTTTTGATGTCAAGTAAACCTGGCCTGTTCTCCTGTTTGAATGGAATGTGTGGAAGCCCCCAGGCCAGGACGCCCATGCAACAGAGCATCTCTGCCCCCGAGACGTGTGCTTGTCCCTGCAAGGCCGCAGAGCTCTGCTCCCACGGAGGAATTCCTCACTCAAACACTGCTCCATGGCCCCTGGCACACGTCACAGGAGCACAGCGCTGTCACCAACTCCTCCTCCCTCTGCCCACCTCCCCACGAGGTGAAGGAAGAGGCACTCACGTTGTCCCGTTGGTCTCCCCAAAGCGCTGGTAGGACTCAGGGTGGCCAAAACCATTCATGCCCCCAGGTGGGCTCCCCTCCGGCGTGACGTCCGTGGAGCTGTAGTCATTGTAGTCCTCGCTGCGGAGCCGCCGGGTGGACATGGTACCTGGGGAGGGAGCCGCGTCAGGGCCGGAGGTGACGCTCAGCTCTGTGCCCCCCATCTCGGCCTCCTTGGGAGCAGCCATCCCTCAGGAGAGCCCAGCTCGCACTGCCGGAGCAAGGTCTCCTCGAGGGCTTTTATAGGGCACGCGCTCCCTGCCCGCCCCAGCAATCAGGGCTGGCATCTGCCGAGGTCAAAGGCCCGCGGCGCCTTCCCTCAGGCTCTTCCTGCAGGCTCGTGCCCCCATTTCTGGCACACCCACAGGGGACGGGCTCGCAAGGCAGCAGGAACAGCCGTCTGGACACAACTCACCTGGCCGCTCGGACCGGGCGATGGACACATGCACCCGCCGGGAAGCGCAGGGACGAAGGCAGCGGGCAGGGACTGGGTCTCCGTGGATCCCGGACCTCTTGGCTCCCAATTGGTGCTGCCAAGAGGATGGCTGTGAAAGAGAAAGCACTTTTAACCCCTGCAACACCTTGTCCTTGCCGCAGCAGAGAGAGTTTCTGTGACGCAGAGTCATGGAAGCACCCGGGAGCCTCCGAGGCTCAAGAACTCCAGGCCCTTATTCCACAGCAATACCCAGAGCACCCCTACAAGCCAGGAGCACCAGAGCTGGCATCCCTGAAAGGCACATCTCCCGCCTCTGGGCTAAAGCTAAAATGCTCCCAGCTGATTCAACTCCCAGGTGAACCCTGAAGGGCTCCCACTGCTTTTGCGCACCCTGCAGCTCCCACTACCCACATCCCCTTCCAGAGACCACCCGTGCCTTGCTCAGAGCAGGACACCAGCAATGCAGGCGAGCGAGGGGCAGAAAACTGAAGGGAGAGAACAGCCTTTGGAGCACGGAGCCGTGCTGCCAACGGAGGCAGCCGTGGTGCTGCCACGGACATCGTGGCGGCCTCGCTGCCAGCTGAGAGCCCCTTGCAGCCCCACGCGTGGGACCAGCCTGGGGCTGAGACCTTCCGCCCTGCTTGCACAGGCACCCACAAGAAAGCAGCCGAGTTACTGATTAATCCTGCTGGGCTTTGCTAGCCCTGCGAGAGCCGCGCTGCTCCACCCCAGCGGCAGCAACCCGCGAGGCGCCGGCTCCCGCAGCGATGCTCCGCAAACGCGGGCAGCGGCGCCGAAGGCAAGCGGGAAACAAGGAAGGAGCGGCTGGCGGGAACGGGGAAGAGGAAGGTGGGAGCTGGGGATGCAAGAGCAGGCGGAAAACCCAGGAACTCGAGCTGACCTCCCAGCCTTGCCCTAGGTCCTGCCGGTCACTCAAAGGCTTGTCCTAAATCCCCAGCCCACGGACATCACACACCAGGCAGGCAGGACAGCCGAGAGGGGATGCACCGGGCAGGGCAGAGCTTCCCAGTGCCAAGACGTGCCTACAAAGCCTCTCTCCCAGCATCTCCGGGCACGAGGAACCCAGGTTCCTCCCCACACTCTGCCCATGGCCTCTGGGCCACAGCACGAGATGGGCGCAGCCTCCGCCGCAGCCCCTTGGCAGGGAGAGCTCGCAGAAAACCCCCCTATCGGGAACACAAAACGACCAACCCCGATCCTCACGCCAGCTTAGCAGAGCGCTGCCCGCCCGCCACGTGCAAAGCCACCACTCGCAAAGCCACAACTCGCAGCCACACGTGGCATGGCAAAGCTCTCACCGCAGCTGCCCCGCACACCCAGTGCAGCTCCCGCCTGCAGCCCTTGGCCAGCCAGGCACTGCCTCCCGGCTCCTCGGAGCGCTGCGGAGCTCGGCCCCGCGCTGCCTGTTCCCCCTTCCCTCGCAACTCCTTCCCTTGGGCTCGTCCCTCCCGCCCGGGCTGCGGGTACGTGCCCCGGCTTCAGAACGATGCTCCAGGAGGGAGGTGACGGGACCACTCCGTCACCAGGTAGAACAGGACAGACAGTGAACGAGCAACATCTGACCAGGACAGACAGTGAACGAGCAACATCTGCTGGCTGTCTGGGGCAGGGACAACCCTCTGCCAAATGGACTTGGGACCCAATACCTGCTGCAGGCTCCTCCGGGATGTCACCACCCGCGGCTGGCGGCTCCCTGGCTGTCACCTCCCAGGTGGCCGCTCCATCCCTTCCTTCCCCAGCCGGCCAGGCGGAAGCGGTGAGAAAAGCTGCCTGTGCAGAGGGCTGGTTTCCTGCCTCTGCTCCGCGTGCTCCCCGCCGGGCCACGCGAGCACCAGCGCTGGCGCAACAGGACACGGGGGCTGCAATCCCGGGAGCCTTGGCTGCTGCCGGGCGGCAGCCCCGCTGTGCCGGGACCTCCATCCGTCCCCACTGCCCTCACTGCTCCAGTACCAGCTTCCCGGCCACACACCCAACACCAGATCGATTCCTCAGGGAGCAACGGGAGCCCAGATCCACCCAACTCCAAGCAGCAATAGCCACAGATGTCACAGCCCTGCCAAGGGGGACACGTATTTGCTTGCGAGCGCAGGCCCCCCAAACCAGCTCCATCCCCAAGCCCTGGCCTCCCCCAGGCACAGCTGCACCCACTGCTCAGGTTACAACACACAGTACCGGGAACGGCCGCGATGGTTGGTGTGGTCCAGCCTCGCCACCACAGCTAGGCAGGGAGCAACAGCACTTGCTCAACACAGAGCCGCCGCCTGCTCCGGATCCCGGGAGCCGCGCTGCTCCGCGGAGGTTGCACACGGGCTGCAGCAACGCGCAGCAGCGCCGCGCTATTTCCTGCTGCAAGGGCTAAGCCCCGGAGCAGAAAGCCGGGCAAGAAGAGCACTACGCGTGGTGGGGCGGCGGGCAGGGATGCCGGCAGCCCATAAATCACTCGGGTAAACCTTGCAGCTCGCAGCGCGGCCGCATCACCGTGCCCAGAACAAGCCCGGCTGCATTCACGGGGAGCCGGCCGCGCCGCGCCTGGAGGAGCCACGGCTTTAGTTTACACAAGGCAGCTTGGGAAGCGATTCGTCACGAGGGACGGACGGGGCCTGCGGGGATGGGAGCGGCGCCGGGAAGCCTCGCGGGGTACCCAGGACAAGCAGCGGGATGGGAAGGGCTTCCGAGGGGGCAGCTTGGAGACCCCCCCCCACCCAAACCACCCCTGCGCAGGGTGCGATGGCCCGCGGCCAAGCCAAGCAGCTCAGGTTGGTCCCCAGCCCAGCAGCGACACAGGACCTGGATGGGAAAGTGCCGCCACTACGGGCAGGACTCACCCCATCCCTGCCCACTCGTCCGCTCCAAACCTTCCCTGCACTGCACTCACCCAGCCCACGGCCTTTTCCAGAGCAGGAAAATCAAACACCCCTTGTAGGAAACAAACTGCTGCTAACAACACCGGCAGGCAGCAGCCCAGCGAGCAGAGGGCAGCGCAGCAAAGAGGCAACACAGCAACACACTGAGACGAGTAACAGCAGCAGAGCCACCTCCTGCCCGCTCAGCCCACGGCAGCGCTGGACACTCACCCTGTCACCTGAAGGAGTCCACAGCGACGTTCTCTAGATACAGCACCACGCTGCTACGTTAGCCTGCTTGAACATCCCCCGTCATTATTTTTTTTCTTTTTCTCTGAGCAAGCCGGGCTGCTTTCTGCTTTGAAGACCCAGGGAAATGGGATGATTGTGACTTGCCTGCTTTGTTTCTGGATTAAAGGCTGCGTAGCAGCAGGGAGCGAGCACTCCGTTCCCCCACAATCCACAAGAAGCTGCAGAACTTGTCTCCTGCACACAGCGAATATTCCCAACCAGCACAAAACCCACTAAATAATTTCCTCCTCATTTGCAAAGAGCAAAGACAGGAACATCCACATTCAGTTTCCACTGTAACCGTCCCCCTATGGCCACTTTCACATGCCCTTTTTTCTTACACACACAAGCAACCTCACTGTGGTGAGGGAAGCGCCTAGGGAAGCAGAAGTGCACATGTCCACGGCAGCCTGGCCTTTAGAGTCATCCTCCATCCCAGAAATCAGGAGCAGGCTGCAACTCGCCGAGCAGTGGGCGGGCAGGCCCTGGCGCCGCGCGGATCACAGATAACAGCCCTGGGAAGAGCCCTTGCGGAGGGACCTGCACACAGACGGTGTCACCGCTTGCCGACACACGAGCTGACCCCTTGGCTTCCAAAGCGCTGCCTCTCTGGACTGAGCCCCATGCGAGCTGTGGGTGCACCCTGCACCCACACAGGCCCCGGGCACCCCTCTGCACCCCTGGGTGCCCGGGGGGCTGCCGGAACCACCTGCACCCGCCTGGGCTGCCAGCACCCCCCGGGGCTCCTGGGCACCCGTGGGGGCTGCCAGTGCCCCCCTGCACCCATGGGGGCGCCCAGCATCGCCCTGCCCGTCCCCAAAGGGTCTCCCAGAACCCACGGGAGCTGCCAGCACCGCCCGCACCCATGCAAAGCACCAGCACCCATTGGCGTCCACGCAAAGCGAGAGCACCCATGGGTGCCCCCCC